AGCTTTTGTAAGTGAAGCTTTTGTGGGTCAAACTTTTATGGGTGAAGCTTTTGTGGGTGAAACTTTTGTAGGTTAAGCTTTTGTGGGTCAAGCTTTTGTAGGTGAAGGTTTTGTGGGTCAAGCTTTTGTGGGTCAAGCTTTTGTAGGTCAAACTTTTGTGGGTCAAGTTTTTGTAGGTGAAGTTTTTGCGAGTAAAGCTTTTGTGTTGAAACTTTTGTGGGTAAAACTTTTGTGTTGAAGCTTTTGTAGGTGAAACTTTGGAGTTGAAACTTTTGTTGGGTACCATGAATTGATTTTGCTGCACACTATCTTGATCAAGATAATGTGAGGCTTTTGAGAATTTGTAGTTGTCTTTCATTGATGAAGCTTTTGTTGGTGAAACTTTTGTGGGTGAAGCTTTTGTGTTGAAGCTTTTGTTGGGTACCATGAATTGATTTTGCTTCACACTATCTTGATCAAGATAGTGTGAAGCTTTTGAGAATTTGTAGTTGTTCTTCATTGATGAAGCTTTGTTGGGTACCACGAATTGATTTTGCTTCACACTATATTGATCAAGATAGTATGAAGCTTTTGAGAATTTGTAGTTGTCCTCCATTGATAAAGCTTTGTTGAATTTCCCTTTTTTTTTTTTTTGGGAAACTAGAAATTTGAAAATGTGGGAGAGACAACATATACAAATTTTGCTTCCACAATGTTGAGCAAGAGATTGTGATGCAAGCCACACCTTGTAGTAGTCGAAGGTTTGGATGAACCATATAAATTGAATTTGCTTCGAACAATCTTGAATTTGCTTCGAAGGTTTGAAAATTGTAATTGTCCTCCATTGATGAAGCTTTTGTTGACACCATAAATTGGTTTTGCTTCACAATCTTGATAAAGAGTGTGTGAAGCTTTTGAGAATTGTGGTTGCCCTCCATTGATGAAACTCTTGTTGGCACCACAAATTGGTTTTGCTTCACACTGTCTTGATCAAGAGTGTGAAGCTTTTGAGAATTGTGGTTGAACTCCTTTGATGAAACTCTTGTTGGCACCATAAATTGGTTTTGCTTCACACTGTCTTGATCAAGAGTGTGAAGCTTTTGAGAATTGTGGTTGAACTCATTTGATGAAGCTCTTGTTGGCACCATAAATTGGTTTTGTTTCACACTGTCTTGATCAAGAGCGTGTGAAGCTTTTAAGAATTGTGGTTGCCCTCCATTGATGAAGCTCTTGTTGGCACCATAAATTGGTTTTGCTTCACACTGTCTTAATCAAGAGTGTGAAGTTTTTGAGAATTGTGGTTGCCCTCCATTGATGAAACTTTTCTTATCACACTGTCTTAACAAGGACAACATTTGCTACCCACGTTGGATAATTGACTTCGCAGACGAAGCATATGCCTTTGAGTTTTTCAACTTCTACATTCATTGCCTCGTACTGTTCAGCGTCATAAGATCTTCGCTTCTGTCTCACCGGCTTGGTCTTGGGGTCAATACTTAAGAGATGACAGATGATATCGGGAAAGATGCCTGGCATGTCCTCGTATGACCAGGCGAAGACCTCAGTGTTATCTTACAAAAAAGAAATCAATGCCAACCAAATGGGTGGTGACAAGGTGGTGCTAATCTTCACTATGCGATCCGGATAATCTTTTGAGATAGAAACATTCTCCAACTCTTCAGCGGGTTGTGCTTGCTGGGTGCAAAAATTATCTCGAGGATCATCGGGTTGACTGTTACCACCGTGATGATCCAAGTTGGCTTCGTTTAGATTGGTCTTTATAACTTGGTTATGCATAGAAAAAAGGTTTCCTTGGGCACAGACAGGTGTTGTTGCTTGACCGAAGTGTTGTAACATGATCGAGCACTAAGTTGATCTCATCTGATGTAACCATTGCCATAGAGGGTTGAAAATTTCATCAACAACATATGTGTGGATATCATGGCCTTGAGAACATTGATGCATGTGCGTCCGAAGATGACATTGTATGCCGTTGGGCAATCAACCACCAGGAAGTTAGTGGTAATGGTAGTTGTGTAAGGGCATGTACCAATGGTGAAAGGTAAGTGTATGCTCCTCAAAGGTTGCATGATATCACCGAAGAAACTTATCAAAGGGGAAATCGAGCGATCGAGCAAGTGTTCAGCTATATTAAGTGCCCTGAAAGCTTCAGCAAACATGATATTGACCGAAGTCCCCGTGTCTACCAAGATTCGTCGTACTTCAAAGTTGGCTACGTGAGCTTCCACGATCAGTGGGTCATTGTGGGGGTAGATGATACCTCTTTCTTCCTTAGGGTAGAAACATATTGGATCCCAGTTAGGCTTTTGATACTTACCTCCCCTGATGTCTTCCACGTGAAACACTTAGTGGCCAGACCTTAAAGCTCGTTCACTATTTTTCATGGCCCTGTTGGAAGATTTAGATATGGGTGTGCCACCACTTATGGAATATATCACATTCACCTGGCGTTGGTTACGGTTACCCCTTGGAAGGTGAAGGAGGAATTGATCAATTTTTCATTCACATGCCAAAGCTTCAATATGATCACGAAGGGTGATACATTTCTCGTCGACATGGCCGTTATGCTCGTGGTAGCAGCAAAACGTGCCCATGTTCTTCGTGGGCTTGTAATCCGGGTGCCTCGACTTTGGCTTCGATATCAAGTGTGCTATGCTGAGGTAAATGACCACGCATGTGGCGTTCAAATGTGTGTATGCTTCATACCTCGGGGTAAGGGTCGTCTTGACACATGCTCGACCCACTGTGTTGACTGCTTGGGGTCGGGGATTATCTGGCGAATAGTGTGCAAGTCATCAGTTTAGAGCTCTGCCAGAGATGGTGGAAGGGAAGAAAAGACATCGCTTTTCGTCGGTGTACATCCGATATGCCATGGTGGACTCAAAGAGGTTAAGGTGTTCAATTAGGCCATCCCTTCCAGTATAGAGTTGTAAACCAAGCTTTTGTTTTGTCTTCGCTTGAAGGGGGTGTCAAGGATCCTTCTTGTGAGAGCGCCAGGCCTGGGTTGGTTCCAGTCAGGTATCTCGGCCTGACGTTCGGCCTTCAACTTGTTTACTTCCTCAAAGAGCTGTAGGACAAGGGGGTCCTGAGTGGAGTCATATACCACTGGAATTTTCTTTCGTAAGTCTCCATCGCCTCTTGGAAGTAGGAAAGTTTGAGCAAGAGCGTGTGATTTTTTCTTGGACTCGCCCCTAACTTCTAGGGCAAGTCTGTTGGAATACCTTAGAGTCTCCCGTACCTTCATGTTCCTCTGGGACCTGTCGTTCCTTTCCTAGATTGACAGCTGGCCTGGGTCGTGGGAGGGGACTGAGTCTTTTAGAAACCCTTGGGTCATTGATCTTCGAGCATATGTGGAGGGGATTCTCTCGACGTTGCTTTAGGAAGTCTCGGCAGTCACGATAAACGACTTTCAATCCTTCCAACCCTTCTGCAAGGATGTGTCTTCCTCCACTTCTTCTACTTTAGGTCAAAGCATCTGGGTTGAGAGAAGTCTCATGTTGATCAATGTTTTGATGATTAGCTCGCTCCTCATCAGGGATACCCATGTCGAAGGAAAGTGACCCTCCGTGTTGTGGGGCACCCAGATGATGATTGATGTCAACAGGGGTAACGAGCTTGCGTGTTTGAGTACGCCTAGTTTCGTGGAGCGTCTCAAAGAGCTTCTCATACTGCTCCTGGAGGACCTCATTCTTCATTGTTATCTTGTTGTTCTGAGCTTCTAGCTCATCGACTTTAGCTTGAAGAGCAACCCTCTTTCTTTTCTTCTTTCGTTGCTTCGCCCTAGGTGCAAAAAGGTTGTCATTCTGTGTGTTATGGCTTCCTTAGCTCTCCATGTTGGAGAGGGATGCCTGGTAAAAAAAGAGTGTACGAATGGTAGAAACCAGCTTGACAAAGCTGAAGAGAATGGGAATAAGTGTCGTTGCCACATACGGCGCCAAATGTTAATGCACAAAATCAGTGAGGACTTTGGTACAATAGAAAATGTTAAGTTTGTGACCTTCACTAGATTGCTCCGGTCACTAGTGTGAATAAATATGTAAATGGGTAAAGACAGGGAAGCAAACACAAGATGTACGTGGTTCATCCAAATTGGTTACGTCTGCGGAGTAGATGAGTTCTCATTAATTTTGAAGGGTTTACATAAGTACATAGGTTCAAGCTCTCATTTAGTAAGTACTAGTGAATGATTTAGTACAAATGACATTCGGAAATATTGTGAGAGAATGATCTCTATTTATAGAAGAGAGTTTCTAGTTTCATTCTGACATTGACACGTATCGTGTTGTGATTGGCTTCTGATGTTGACACGTGTTGCGCTATGATTGGCTTCTGATGTCGACACGTGTCGTGCTGTGATTGGCCTCCTGGTTGGAGGAAAACTCTTCTGGGTCCTTGACGGTATAACGTTGACCGGTACTCAGTAGTTTTGGGATTGGTCAAGTATGGTACAAACATGTTGTATATGACATATTTAATCACTTCTTTATTGAATAAATTGTCATCCGACTCCTTAAACTATTGTCCTAGTAATTACCTTGAACTATTTAAAATTAGCTAATTTACTCCTCACCATCAGATTTAATCAAACTCCATCCACTTTGCAATTAAATAATAGTACGTGATTCAATATTGTGGATAAAATTGTGCCAGTACTGACATAAGGTGAATGAAATTTTATCAAATCTGATCTGACAATGAGAGGTAATTTGATAATTTCAAATAGTTAAAAATCGATGAAAAAAATAACTAAGGTGTCAAATGACAATTTACCCTTAAACCAGCTCTAAATAAAATGTCAAACCATAATAGTCAAATTGCAATTGATGACACATGTGTCAAATGTTATTTTATTATTTAAATAGAACTTTAAATGATTGTAATTATTAAAAAAATAATGAAACAATTTTTATTCGTCGAAATGTTAGTCGAACAAATGACTTACCATTAAAATGAAAATTAAAAATAAATTTGATACTGATGTTAAATTTGACTCCAAATTATAAAGTTTTCAAATTCAATCAACAAATAACATTTCAGTTGAATAGACTTTTGATGTCAAATATACATAGTAACATTTCATCAAAGATTTTCACATCTTTGAAAATGCTCTTATTTATTTATTTATTTTTGGCAAAAGGCAATATTTAAGCAGAGAATCCAGAGAAGACATTACGCAATGTGAATAGAAGGTATGGAAGTTGCGACTGGAAGTGGACTCCGTCGTGTCCACACGTGGAGTTCATATTTGTATTAAATGACTGCACACAACCACGTCAATACTGTCAGACAACAACAGGGGACAGAGATCCCAGCCAGATCTCACCCCATCAAATCTTAAGAATTCGAAGATCCGGACGGTTAAAATTTAATTCAACGATTATAAATAAGAAGATCCTTTAAAAATGATAATAATTGCAACCGTTGGATCAAATTTCAACGGTCCGAATCTCCTAATCCTTAAAACCTGGTGGAGGAGATCCGACTGTAATGAGGGAGGGAGGCCCTACTTACTTACTACTCAATTCTGTGACTTCTCCCCTTCTTTTTTTGTCAATCTGTGACTTCTGACTATCTCCAAAATAAATACATTTTATTTGTCAAAAATATAAATAAGTGTAATAGTTGGTGTGTGGGTTGGTAAATTCAGCATTTTGTCATTGAAATAGTAAAGAATCAGCTACATTTATTGTTTATTTGGAACATTATTTGTACTACTTCTCTAATAAAAGCAGATCCCGTCAACACATGTGAATTTCATCTATATTAAATAGTACAAATAAATGATAAAAATAGCATTTTTAAATAATAAATAGTAAACTAGAAAGAAACAAAACACCTTGTTAATGATAAATTTTACAGAAAAAACACTTTAAAAGTTTAAACTTTAATGGGAGATCAGGCCTTTATTTGTCCACTGAGTTTGGGAAATTCATTTGTTACTAAATAGTATGGGTTTGGTTTTTCTTCTTATATATTGAGTTTATAATGTTTTTTTATTTATAAATTATGATGTTATTCAGGTCTTATATGAAAAATAAATAAATAAATAAATAAAAGAAGAAAAGTTGAAAATTTTCATTGTGATATATAATAGGACAAATAGAAAGAAGGGCGTACCAATAAAGCATGTGATGCATTCTTCCTTCATATGATTTTGGAACAATATCGTTTTCGTCCTTGTTGGAATAGGGAAAATATTTGGTCGCCACTGCATCAAGAATGGTAATCACTATCACCACATAAATTGTCGTTGGATGAGCATATTTCGAGATTTGTATAAACTTCAAGATTTGTATAACAGATTAAATCACACTCGTTCAAAAGCAGTTGATGCGATGGTAATGCTCACCACAAACCGATAAATGGTGAAATGAAATTAGGTGTTCCAACTTTCTACGAGATTTCTATGAAAGCAAATGGGGCAAAGTTGTATCGCACGGAATGCGACCCAGTTTTACAGTCAAATCAATTTCTAATTAGAGTTTTATCGACGTTGATATCCAAGTCTTCAATGATAAAACGTTTGTTTTCCCACTAAATATTCCTAATCCCCTTTCTTGGCCGGGAAAAAAATTTTGGACTGAGAAAAGCAATACGAACCGATCAATTCAACTTTGATTTTTCCAAAAGAAAAAAGTCACTTAAAATAAAGGCATCTACTCTTTCTTGTGCGCATCTAACAAACACATACAGGACCAGCCGATAGCATGGACCGAGATCCAAGACCGTTAAATCTTTAGTCATTAGATTCTTAGTTAAAACTCTGATGGCTATAGATCTCGGTCCATGCTTTCGGTTAATCCATTCTAAAATTGGGAGCAAAAGAATATTCTTTCTTCTTTTCCTCTCAATGGAAATTTCCATTAAGTCTTCACAACTTATAACTCATTTCACGTATAAGTAATCAATGGCACTCAAGGACCAACGCATAGTTCGATCATATTTGCTTCAAACTTGTAATGTGCAAAATGTGTTTCCCCTCATTGATAAATGTCAAGATACCTACTAATCTCAAGACAGCTTTAACCCGAGGCACAAGAAAACTTCATGCTCGATGTAAAAAACCTCATTAAGTTCTGACCGACAGTAACCTTTGCCTAGTGAAGTAAACATTACCTGAAACAAACGAGCAGCTGCAGACACCAGACCTCCTCAAATGTATAGTGCATTCTCATTTTGTATTGGAAAATCCTGTATATAAACCACACAGCATATATAATACCCAACGTCTTACTGAAAAGCCATGCTTCGAACATCTTGAATGGTAAAACTGCATGTCTAACTCTCCTCGCTTAAACGATGACCTATGATTAGTCTAAGTTATTAGAATGTCATGGGGATGGAAATGACAAAGGTGATGGAAGGGAAAACATGACAATTAATGGCATGTTTTCCTAAGTATCCACATCCGAATGAAAGTTATGCCACGAAATAGAACTGAGGAACACCTTCAGATGATTGGTTAAGATAATTGAATCTCAAAACCATGTAAACAAAAAAATGTAAAAGTGGCAAGATGTCTATATGGACGCCTTCCTAATTTCAATGTGCAACAATTTAATATAAAGCAAAAAACACTCCAATCTAACAAATCTGCAGACCCATGCACCACCCTACAGATGATAACCATATTACTGTCCCTAATATTGCATTAACAGATATACTGCTGAAATATGCATGTCACAAATACGGTATAAGATGATAACAATATTTGAGCCCCTAATATCCAGGCATTAACACATACTGCTGAAAATGCATGTCACAAACACGTTATAACATAGCCAAATGGTATGTTCATGATGCCACTATGTGCATTCATTCACAAGAGGAGAGATGCTAATGCTGATGACGTGACTATGAAATGGATGCATGCAACAGCTGCAAGATGCATCCTATCATGTGGTTGTGTTTCTGTAGCATAAGGAACAGAGTACATCCCCTTCAAGCTACTGGTATGTCATAGTCGGCGGAGCTCCATTGGCAGTAGGGACAGCACCAGGGTGGTTTCCATCCTTCCTTCTCCCAAATGGGTTCTTCGAATATGTATTTATAGTCAAGGAAAAACATATATTGCCAATCACAAAAGAAACATAAACAAGTCACGAGCGACATATATAACTGTGGTGAGGTGGATTAAAAATTCAGAATATATATTTTAAAGTTATTTAGCACAAATTTTGACCTATGCTTATTTATGGTTCAATAATATTAAGTTGCATAAACAACAAACTAAATATCAGCCATACAGAAAAATTCCAAAAGGATATTGTATTCTCATGCCTACAGAACCAGAACTGGGGATAACAGCACCCTGCAAAGCCTGGTGTACATTGGTGGCACTGTTCACATCCTGCATGGATTATACAGAAAATCCATTTAGAAAATAGAGAAAAGGGCATCCCAACATGAAAACGTCAATAAGCAGAGCATAACTACGAAATAAATATTACTTACTTCAAACTCAATGAAACAAACAGTATGCCTTTCTTGTCTTAGGACCTTCATTTGCTTAAATCCAGGTTGTCTGCATTACCAAAAATTCATGTTTAGCATGACATCTTTCTTATGAAACATAGAGATGAAACACATCCTAAGATAAGGGATGAGACATTCATACGAGCTGAAAAGGCCCCTCAATTCTTCCTCATTAATGCTCTCTCCCAGATTTCCAATAAATAAGGTATTGCATGGTGGGTTATCTTTAGTGTTCTGCAGGAAACAAGAACCATTGTAAAAAAAGAACAAATTATAGGCTTCCTGCATCATGAACAACCAACATTTACAAAGAATTTGGGCACTACGAAACAACAAAAGTACAACATACAGGAAGAAAGATAGTGGGGAACACAAAAAAAAGGTCGTACCCAGTGCACAAGGCTCCCGCTTTACGCAGGGTCTGGGAGAGGTGAATGTCGGCTAGCCTTACCCCCATTTATGGAGAGGCTGCTCCCAAGTCTCGAACCCGAGACCTACCGCTTATGGGCGAAGACACTTGCCATCGCACCAAGTGGGGAACACAAACAAGGTAAAAATGAATAACCAAGGTAATCTGCTTATTTAGTTTAGTATCATTTTACAGCTGCACTTATGGTATTTTTCTTCAATATATGATGCATTCATTTATCTAAACAAGAGAAGAAGGGGCACGGGGGTTGTTTGACGAAGTAATAGCTAGACAAGCTATATCTCTTGATAAATATCAGTATCTCAACTCCCCACCCCACACACACACATCCCAATCCAAGGAAAAAAGGAAATTTGTGAATCAGTCCAAAGGTTCATGCGAACTCATCAATTAGCAAATGCAAACTTTTTACCCAACATTTTACGCACAGGAAGCATAGTGGATTACCAGAACAGGTACATAACTACTTGGTGCTGGTGCTGGTACAGGAGGAGGAGGGTGCATTGGTACTGGAGGAACAGGATAACCACCATATGGATCATACGTAGGGGGTGGTGGAGCCATATACCTGGGCCACACAAGTAACACTCACATGAGAAAATGTGATATATATGGAAAGGGAAACATATGCTCTACCGAACAGCAGAAACAACTAAATTTTATTTTGAAATTAGATGAGCAATGTTTGATTACCCATGTGGCCCCCAAACAGGTGGAGGAGGAGGATGAAAAGGAGATGGACTACTATAACCACCCTGTGAGTAGTCACCACCAGTTCGCAATCGTTTACTTTGATCGTAAGCACTTGTATCAGCTACAATTCCTACAGTTTCCAACTCATATTAGTGACTCACAAAATATTCAATCAAACTCTCTAGCTAACCAAAAAACATTGATATTACAATTCAAACCAACATAGTGTGGTATGACAAACATGGTGTGGTATCCCGCTAACGAAATTGAAACTTTAAACCAAAGACACTGATTACTCCACATGTAGGTAATACTCTACGAACATACCAAAAACACTAAAACTCTCGATTCAAATTCAAAACAAAAACAAATTTGATCACCATCCTCACCTCTTTTAACAAAAAGATTCTTCTTCGCCATCTCCGTGTGCAGCACCGCCTTCGATTCCGAATCGAAAATCATACCCTAAACCCCAAATTCCAACAAAAACTCAAAATTTCAACATAAAAATTAAAAATCAAAATTAAACCGTAAGAAATGATTCAAAGCTAACCTGAAGGGCGTCTTTGGCAGCAATGGCTTGCTGAGCAGTGGAAAAGAGAGCGAAACTCATAGGTTTCTCGCCTTTGTTGTTGACCTGCGAGGCCTCGTATCCCGGCAGCCATCTCAGGAGGTTCTGTATCTCTCTCTCCTTCACATCCTCTGGAAGACCAGTGATGAATATGGTGCGGACCTCTTCGGTAACGGCTCGGTTTGGGTTGTCGACGAGGTGGTGAGGAGGAGGAGCGATGGAGCCGACAGCCGGGGGCGGCGGATGAGGAGCGGCGGCTGCGGGAGGCCATTGCTGGTGGTATGGATGGATCCCAGCGCCGGCCATGTCGAATTGTACCCAAAAACCAGAGAGAGAGAGAGAGAGGGGGGGGGGGGGGAGGGGAGGGAGGGAGAAAGTTGAGATTTTTCGGAGGTAAAAGACGAGAGTTTGGATTTGGATGGGATGTTGCCGCGAGCGATTGGGAATTTGCCGATTTGGGATTTGCGGGAAACTGAAACTGTTTAGGATGCGGAGCCTCAGCTTCACTTACCTAATCGTTGAATCGTGTGTTGACACGTGGCTAAAATAAATAAACAACTTAATTAATTCCTCATAAATTTTAGATATAGTACTATATGTATCACACTAAAAAAACTTCTCATCATCTCGAAAAGAGAATTACAATTCAATTACGATAAATAGATCTTTGCATTATTTGACCCAAAAAAAAGATTAATCTTCGCATTATAAGGTTGGATCCTCTAATTACTTATATATGGATCTTGTGTTAAGTACCAAAAAATGTCATTTTGGAGTTGAAGGATTAAATGTTATGAGATTAGGGATTAATCAATAATATAATTCAATCTAAATCTTTCTATTCTAATTACAGATTAGTAAACGAGAAATAAAAGTCAGAACTAAAACAAAAGAATACTCTTATTGTTTGATCAAGCTTACAACCACTAAAAGTTTATCAAGTTGCTCATGGTAAAATATTTTGAAGGTAAATCTTCAATGCAAGACCAATCACTGTGTTAATAACCGTATCTTAGGAGGTCGTCATGTTACACACAATTGATCTTGTTATTCACAATTTGGCAAGGTAATTATATTGTAGTAGCACCAATTCCTCAAGATTTTGCCTCTACCAGAGCTTGGAAGCCCAACTTAATTCAGCATATAGCTTGCTTGCCCCCCAAGACATTACCCAATAAATACCAAGCTTAAAACAAATTTACTGGTGAACTTAATTAATCATAATTATATGCTAATTATTGAAACTTGTGCTAATTATTAAACCTCTAGCATTACTGTCTGCATTTACCAAAAGAAAATTGAAAATTTTCAATGGAATTACCATACTGTTGTAAAAGTCATTCAATGTGGATGGCCACTCATCCCACTACCACTTTACAACTCATCTCACTACCACTTTAGAACTCATCCCATTAAACTTTGTATAACATTCAAGCTTTGCCTATAAAACAAAGGAGCAAATGAAGAAAGTAAACCAACATATAGAAGGAAGAGGAAAGAAAGAGAGGAAATTATGGAGGAATGGAAAGAGAGGAGGAAGAAATGGGAGAATAGAGAGAGTTATCTTTGTACTCCTATTATTTCAAATTATAAGAAAGCACCACTGCTGCCCTAAAGACGTATTCCAGCCACACTGACTGTAGAGGAACCTCGTAAATATTGTGTCTTATTTCAGTTATTCCACTGCACATATATCGCTAATTTTACAACACGTTATCAGCCCGAGAAGCTCTCGTGTCAGTGGAAAGCACAACGCCACAAATCGGTGAAGCACTACCTACCTCTTACCTCTGTAAGCTGGAATCTCACAAATAAGAAAATCTTTTCATTTCATCTTCAAATCTCTGTACTACTGATTTTCTTGAAGCAACTATATTTCTTGTTGTATGACTGTATATCACCATTTGCTCTGAACTCAACTTGTTAACCTCGGATTGAAATACTTTCTTCTTGAAAGTTGTTCGTCCACCCAGTTCCTATAACATATCAAAATTTCAGAAAATTCTAACGGTGTGATCGTCGCAGATGTCTGAAATACCAACCCAGTTTCCAATTCCGTGGACAACTGGATAGACATCTTATGCGTACTGAAACTCTTTTTTTAGTAGCTTAGATCGAAATTGTTTCTTCACGAAAGTTGTTCGGTATCCTCTTATCTATATCATACTAAAATTTGAGCTAAATCGAACGGTTTGATATTCTTATAAGTTGCAGGCATTACTCTTGACTCCAAAACTTATGGGAATCGTTTCAACTCTTTCAAACTCACCGGATGAGGAACACAAATTGAGACTTATTGTTACTATAACTTCTTGGGTAACTAAAAAGACTTAAGAGTTATAAAAATAAAATAAAGTAAAAGGGATGAAAACAAAAGGAACTGGCATACAAAGAAAAAGAAAAAAGAAAAAAAAAAGATGGAGACTTAATCATCACCCTTTTCTGTTTTTGCTTTTATGTGAATGATGTTGATTTAAAGCCCTTTCACAAGTTCCATTTACTTAAAAATAAGGGTAAAAGACTGTTTACTACCCTCATGTTTCGTGGTTTTCAACATTTAGTACATCAAGTTTTTTTCGTCTCAGAGTCATACCTAAAGTGTTAATTTTGGAACAATCTCATACATCCGTTAGTCAAACTGTTAATTCTCCCGTTAATTGATGACGTGGTGCCTATGTAGACAATGATTAGGCGCCACGTGTCATTAAAGCGTCCACGTGGAAATTAAAAAAGGAAAACTAATGAAAAGGGCTTGAAAACTTTGAGTTTTAATGATAAGGACAAAATAAAAGGTAAAGTGAATAGTACCAGGATTGACTTTTTAGTGTTAAAATGTGGTTTTTCGTTAAAGTGAATAGTACCGGGTACTTTTCGTTAAAGTTCCCAATTAAAAATTAAAAAAATATAAAATTTGGTCTTTTTCTTCCTCCCCAACATTCCCTTCCTCCCTTATCCCTCCATTCTCTTCTTTGCACGACCCACCAAATCCCGAGTTCCTTTCAAACCCTCGCCGCGGAGTTCCCTCCCCTTACTCGGCGTGCCTACTTCGCAGCCACCATCTTCGCCATCGACGACATCTTATCCTCTGCGTCCAGATCCTGGACCCACCGCCACAGCGGCGCTGTTGTAGTTCTTGGCCTTTTCTCTGCTCTCCTGTCTCTTTTCTTCCCTTCTTCTTCCTTTTTCATTTTGATTTTCCTTTTCCATTTCCGTTTTCTTTCATCTCGAAAGAGACCCCAATTTTTTTGGGTTCACAAAAGAAACCCAATTAGTTTATTTGAATTTTTTTTTCTTCTAACTTTATAGTTTTCTGGAAAATTAGGAGGATTTGGGTCTCTTCCACCTGGGTTCACAAAGAGAAGATCCATACTTGAAATACCAAATTCTTGAACCGATTCCAACCAAAACCCTTTTGGATCAAAACCTAGTAGATTTGTACCTTTAGAATTTGAAAAATATAACCCCAAATTGTTGAACCCACTCACCAAATCGCCCGAATAATCAAGGAGGAGTACCTGAATTCGCAAAGGTTAGAAGCAACAGCTTGGAATCTTCTCACTTCAGCTTTTATGAATCTCTGGATGTGCGAAGAAGAGAATGAAAAACAAAACAAAAAAAGAAAAACAAGAATCAGGGAGGAACCCACCAAACCCTCTAAATCATCCGTCCGTCCCTCGCTCATTCCCTTCTTCTCCCTCCATTCTCTCCTCTGCACGAACCCACCAAATCCCGAGTTCCTTCCAAACCCTTGCCGCCGAGTCCCTTCCCTTCACTCGGCTTGCCTACTTCGCAGCCACCATCTCCGTCATTGACGACCAGCTTTTTTCCTAACCTTGTGGTTAAATGCTCCAGCATGCACACCCATGGTTAATGGCTTCGAAAGCTGGTCCTGGATACGATGGTGAGGAGATCAGTCAACGATGGTGGATCAGAGCTGAGAGTTGAATCAAACGAGTCCGGCGGTTGCGGGATCTGGGTTCTGTGGGGGTTTGGTAGGTTGGTGCATATATCCACACCTTGAGGAGTTGAATAAGAGCTAAGAGTTTGGTGGGTTGGTGCATATTTGGGTTCTCAGCTTCGGACTCATTGTGGGATATGAGACTTGTTTTGAGGAGAGAATGGAGGGATAAGGGAGGAAGGGAATGTCGGGAAGGAAGAAGAAACCCAAATTTTTTATTTTTTATTTTGAAATTTTAATTTCCACGTGGACGCTTTAATGACACGTGGTGCCCAGTCATTGTCCACATGGGTGCCACATCATCAATTAACTGGAGAATTAATAGTTTGACTAACGGATGTATGAGATCCCAAAATTAACACGTTAGGTATGACTCTAAGACGAAAAAAACTTGATGTACTAAATGTTGAAAACCACGAAACATGAGGGTAGTAAACAATCTTTTATCCTAAAAACAATTTATTTACAGTGGGGGGAATTATCACCCTTTGCTTTAATTTTTTATTTGTTTATGTGAATTGTGCTGAATTAAAGTCTTTGTCACAAGCTTTATTTATTTAAAAACAATTTATTCACCATTGTTGGAATTACCGCATATTACTTTAATTTATTTATTGTACTTTTTTGTTATGATAAGTATATACATGACCCGAAGTTCCTTGATCAAATTAGAGCCTGCAGTTTCTTGATTCTCATCATATAAAATGATTGGACCCGAAGTTCCATCATGTAAAAAGATCGGACCTGAATTTCTTTGATCATCATCATATAAAAAGACTGGGCATGAAGTCCCTTATCCTCAAGATCAGACATGAAGTTCCTTGATGAGTACAGTAAGTTGAAGTGTCGCAGTGCCACAACTTAATTGTAATAAAGGTCATAAGACTCTCAGTCCACAAACAATTAAATAAGGACCATAAGTTCCTTGATTCATGTAAATAATGATATAATCCATGTATATTTGCTGCAGAGTTTCCATCTCAAATTTTTTATGATTATTGCATGTCACTGGGCATTGATGTTGAACACCATGTTCCTTATTTCCATACTCAAAATGATTTAGCAGAGGCATTTATTAAGCGGATGAAATTGATTACCCGCGCTTTACTCATGAAAACGAAATTATCAGTTTCTACATGGGGACATGTCATTTTACATGATGCATTATTAGTTCGGTTAAGACTTGTTGCCAACCATTAATACTTCTCAGTACAACTCGTGTTTGGGCACAACCAAACATTACACATTTACGAATTTTTTGTTGTGTTATCTATGTGCCTATTGCACTGCCACAACATACTAAAATGAGGTCTCAACGCAAATTGGGAATTTTTGTTGGATTGGATTCACCATTTATCATTTAATATTTGGAACCCTTGACTGAGGATATGTTTACCATGCAGTTTGCATTGACACACCCCGACTGGAGTCGAGGCATGTTGGCCATCACCCAAATGTGACATAACCAAAAGTGGAAGTATTGTAAAAAAATGTGA